AATAATAAAGTCTGACAGGAAAACGAAGACATAATGTGAAATTCATATTCAAATCTATTTAAAACAACTTGTTTACTGAATACTGTAATGAATTACAGACAAATGCCTCTAAACTGTTTTCATTCCATTTACTACTACCACAGTTAGGCAAAAAATACAAAGCTGATAGTAAACTATGAGTCCATTCACATTAAGCAATAGGTAGACAAGCATCTCTGCTGTATTCCTGTGTGCTTCTTTCTATTCCTAATGTAGATAGACAAATTCTTAGTATTCATTCCTAGTAGTTGATGACAATTTTCATAATAATAATGATGATAATAGTAAAATAATTTACATTTAAATAGAATGTTTCCCTGAAGTAATTCTACAAACTTTGCAAAATGATGCAGTGGAACCACTTTATCCAGTTATTGAAATGCAGCCACCTCTGCAATGAATCACAACATCTGCTTAAACATGGGTAATGTCAATCCTTGTATGATAGATTAGGATCAGGAAAAGGAATAAGGTCTATAAATAAGTAATAATTAAAGGAAAATTATTTGAGTTTAGGTTTATAGGAAAACCACAGCTAAAATCCATTTACTATGGACAAAAGTCTCACAGGGTGTTTATTAGGTTTTTGAGTTTTGCTTCATCTTAATGGCAAAATCTTAAGTTGTTCAGCAATCCCAACACCACACTGGAGGATGGGAAAACCTAAGAGTGACAAACCATCACCGCAGCTATGAAACATTGCCTGAGCAGGTTTCAGGATGAAGCCTGCTGGCACCATGCAGTAAATGAAGTGATCCACTTTTTAGGACTATTTTCATCCCAATGCATTGCTTTCATCTTAATGAATTTGGTATTATTCAGCATAGTAGATTTAATTAAAATATTTAAAAGTATTTAAATTATTAATGATTCAATAATTAGAAATAAGTATTTTAATGCATGACTGAATAATGTATACTACTAAATTTATTTTTTGGAAATAACAGCCTAGATTTATTTTTTTTCCCTATATTTGAGATTCAGCACTATTTAGAAGTTACAATTTTGTCATACTGGCTTGCTGCAGAACATAGTGAGTGCAAAACATCTTATTTAATGCAGCCCAAGAAAACAAACACGCGTGTGGGAGACAAGAAGTGATATAGTCCCCTAAAGTTCTGCTAAAATCTCAGTGGTGTTTAGAGATATAGTGGTGTGAAAAACACTGGGAAAAAATCAAATCACAAGTCATAAACAAAAAGGATATAATTATGCCGGAGAAAACTTACAACATTTACACTACAAATGATAGAACAAGAGGTAACGGCTTTAAATTGAAAAAGAGTAGGTTTTGATATTAGGAAGAAATTCTTTAGTGAGAGGGTGCTGAGGCAACTGGAACAGGTTGCCCACAGAAGTTGTCGATGTCCCATACCTGGAAGTGTCCAAGGCCAGGTCGGATGGGGCTTGGAGCAACCTGGTCTAGTGGAAGGTGTCCCTGCCATGGCAGAGGGTGTTGGAACTAGATGATCTTTAAGGTCCCTTCCAACCCAAGCCATTCTATGGTTAGATGAATGTGACCACAAACTCCTGCTCAATGCATTCATACATAACCATATGTATTCACTCTCCATACACCCCCCATGGGCTAGCCTGGGAGCAGCTCAAGACAGCTGGAGACAGCCCTTCAGAGATCATAGGCCCATGCACCTGAGCACACCCACAAGTAAATTTAATATTACCATGGCATGAAGTGGGTCAGTGCATTACCAGACAGGTTGTTGCAAGTCACTTGTTGTCCCACTGTGGACAGGGAACACAGAGGGCAGCAGTCCTGTGGTGGCATATTCACACATCCAGAACTCCAGATGACCTTCTGCTCTCAAGAGACTTCTGCAGTGGACAGCTGTTCACTGTACATTCAGGATATGCTGAACCTAAAAGAAACCCTAAACCAAACCAACCTCTAAATTCCTTTCATTTCTGACTGGAGGTGGAATTAGACACCAGCCTCCTGACAACTTAGTGTATATAGGCTCTGCGTCCCCTGTGGTTCTGCTCATGTGCATTCCTGGTTTGATTTTGCCTCTAGGGTATTGCTTGCTCAGGTCTATTGCAGAGGGAAGCCCTGTCAGTACTAAAACTGCTTGGAAGGCAGCTGGGAGCACATCAGCTGCACCGGCCCTGTGGGGACTCCTGACTCCCAGAGCAACCAATACCACTGGGAGAAGTGCGTCATGAGGGCATAACCATGAACAGACTCCAAAACAAGCTGCCCTGCCAGAGACACTGCACCCACCTCTATGAGCAAGGGTGATCTGCGCCAGCTGCACTGAATCAAGCCACTGTTTGTGTGGGCTTTTTTTTTTTTAATGCAGCTGCCATATATCCAAAAAACAAGTTATTAGGAACATAACAGTATTAGTCAAATCAACTTTATTCTTCAGAGGGATGAAAGCCAGTGATACAATTCACAAATAGTGGGTGTTGGTGGGTGGGAGTATTACGCAGCTTTTCAAGCTCTTTTCTCTTGTGTGAGCAAATTTTCATTCTTGCAGAGGCCTCCTGCATAATTGCTGTGAAGGGTCACACAAGGTTTGTTTTTCCCAAGGTCCCAAGCCAAGTGAGCTGGCCAAAGGCTTGGGATTTGGATAGAGAGGCAGTGCTGCTCCTCTGGGCCATGGTGTTGCTAATTCAAGGTCTGGAAGAAGGGGTTGCTCTGCTTGCTGGTTGCTGTCCTCATTTCAGTGCCATCTATTCAGCCTTCCACATCACAGGTTATTCCTCCACTGGGTATAGATGGCCCAAAGCTTTTTTTCACTGTGCTTTCCAAAGAGGAACAACAGTGTCTTTCCCAGAGTACTTTATCCCAGTTCCACCTCCAAGGACGGTTGTGATGTCTGCCTCTAAATAATTAAGACTACCATAAAGTAGGGGTTTTACAGAATATCCTCTTTTTCCTCCTCATTAGCCTGCCAACTTTATCTCTCAGCCCATGCTAAGGTCAAGGAACACCTTGTGAGAGGAGCAACATAATAGAAAATCTCTCACACATGTGACAGTCTCTGTATTCCTCAAGACTTCTGAGACAAAGGAGAACTTGACAGAGCGTGAATATGTTGCTGGTGGATCTGTTTTTGATATTTGGCTGTGAGGCATGTAATAGTGGGGTACCTATATAAACCATAAATTAATGAACTGAGAGCTTTATTTCTGCAGCTCTCTAAACTGGGGCAGTTAGGTAGCCTGGTGTTTTGTAATCGTGTTTTACTTAATTAAAGTATTCCTATTGGCTGGGTGGAAAGATGTGTTACCCTATTACTAGCACAGGATAAAAGAAGGCATCATTAGTGTACATGACACCTTCCTCAGACCCCACCAGAGCTAAGGCCTCTGTAGTTCCTCTGGAACAGAATTAACATATTTCTTATTGAAATTGTTTTGTTTTGTATTTTTTTCTCTCATATCCAACTGCATCAATTTCCTCATTACAAGAATTAAGCTGCTTATTTATCTGTAATGTGCCTCGGCTTTTGTGAAGCTTCACAAATGAACCTTTGCTGTTGGGCTAAGGAAGGTTTATTTTAGCACTTGTAGTTCCTATAATAGTTCCTGAGTTATTAATAAATTGAACAACTTTTCATAATCCTTAGCATGAGACAGACTTCTCATGATCTTGACTCATACCCATGAAAAGACTGCATTGGGGTCCTCTCATAAGTTTTCTTGGGTTTGTGCCATTGGAGGAGGGAGTCCATAAGAAGCAGCATCTGGCAGAACATCTGCATCAAGTCCCTGCTGACATCCTGAGATCTGTCTGCCCAGACTCACTCCTCCCTTTGTACAGAGCTTGACATATCTGGTACCCCACTGCCAGACAACCTCAGCAAATACTTCTCTCTCCAAGGGAGGCTGTGTCAGTTTTTCAGTGTCTTCAACTTGTGTTATCTCATTGCTAACCTGATGGAAGAGTACACAGACTCTTTTCAAACTGCTTACGGCTCTGTGGAAGGAATTTGCCAAGGAGCCTTGATCTGAGCCAGCTGGAAGGCCCTGATGTAGGTGCAAAGATGAAATCCAGCCTTCTCCAGACCAATGATCATGAAGTTTTAATTCCTTACAAAGGCCAGGAAAACTAAGACAGTAACTGAGATAAATGTTGATGAGTGGATGGGACAGATCTGTTCCTTAAGGCTTTGCAAGAAAGCAGCAAGGCAGTGCTGAAGGCCCCCAGGCCAGCTCCATAGTTAGCTGCTAGGTTGAAAGTCAGTTATAATTTCTTTCTGTTATTCTACATCACTTTGAGTTATACATTAGTGTACATACCCTCTGGTAGACCCTTTCAAAGCAACTGAATAACAAAGATACTTTAATTTTCTTGTTTAAGTTCTGGGAAGTACAAGATAATCTTTCATTTTGAGTTGGCAATGATGATCCCCAAACTAGTGATGGAATAGCAGGAACAATAGCTTTGTGGAAACTGTTCTAGAGGATCTGTACTGTAAGGAATGGTGGATCAGTGAAAACTTCCTTTCTATATCTGTATTATCCTTTATACTGAGCATGTTTTATGCCTGTGCCTAACTCCTGCGATGCAGGAATGATTTTTGTTTCCAAATGCCCTGGTTCATGGGGAACATTTTTTCTTTCTTCTGTCAGTGAAGACATATAAAATAGAGCTTATCTTCTTCTGTAGATTGGAATTAATTTAATAAGAGACATCTCTTCTGTGTATAGGAGCATACTACAGTGTAGAAGAAACACTTGCAAATGTGGGTTTGAGGGTGCTACAGCCAAAAGCAAAGTAGATTGTCTCAGATGTGTTGCCTCTCCATCACTCCATAACACCGACATAGCCCAGTCACAAAGGCGTGTACATGAGAGGCTGAAAATGGATGTGAACAGTCTCCTGAGCATTTATTTCACTCCTTGCATTTGTCCTTCAGGCATTTCTCACTGTATCATGATATCAACTTGAAAATTTCCTAATACAGAAGGTAGAACTCATAGACAAGGAAAAATTTCAAAATTATTGCTCTTTTTAGAGTCATACATCTCATATTTCTGTGGGGAATTTACCAAATTTTAGCATCACAGTCTTTGGAAAAAGTCATGTGTACTATGAGGATTCCTATTGTGAGGCAGCCCTTAACCAAGGAGATGTAATTATCATTCTGTAACATTTCAAATGAGAAGCTGCATTTGACCAAACTGTACCACCCACAAACAAAGGCCACTTTTCTGTTAATTAAAAGCAGCTGATGACCAGTTTATGAGAAAATAAAAAATGCAGACATATTCTCTTGTCACACAATCATGTTTATACCTTGTCTTACTTTAATGTGAACTCACAAGTGCTCAGGTATAAGGGCAAGCACTGTCAAACGTAATTCACAAGAACAGGCCGCTCTTCAAAATAAAAATCTATGTAGTGAACTGGGAAAATGTCCCCACATACATTGCCTAATTTAAATTAATTTGTGGATTTGGTAATGATCTAAAGAAGATGCTCTACTCTCTTTTCTGTTTAGCTGTAGAGGTAGAGTGGAACAGATAAAGTACTGCATGAGAAAAGTAGCTCAAGAAAGGGTATGATTAATGAACAGAAAAACACAAATATGGTCACCTGCTTTTTAAGAATGAACAGTCACAAGCTCTTTAGGGCAGCAAAACCCCATGATACTGTTGTTAGAAAAGTTCTCCTTTAAGTAGACAAGCATAGCACCTTAGCTTATCTTTTTAATGAAAAGGAAAGAAGTCATCAAAAGGGAAGTAGGCAAAAACCTGACTTTCACCATGCTTGATGCTCTGAAGGTTCCTCAGGCGGGAAAGGCTACATAAAGCTTCCCTGAATTCAGAATTTGCTGCCCTTGCCAAACCAGAGGAAGTCTTACTGTTTACACAGTAATAGCTACTTGAGGTCTCTTCAGTTTCAGCCATGCAAAAGCAGGGGAGACAGCAGGTCACTCCCCAGCCTCTCCTTGCAAAAGGATAATGCAGTAGCCATGATACTACCAAAAGAAGTAGGCATGAGTGCGGCATTCTTTGACTGGAAAGAGTTCCACAGATAATAAGGGAAACAACTACGCAGAAACAACTATGCAAAAGAATAACAAAAGACAATTTTTCTGGCACCTCCCTGAGAACCAAATAAATAAAAGTAAAAAGGCTGAATGCTTCAGCTTCTATTTATTTGTTGTAACAAATCAGGCACCAGTGATGGTAGGAGACTCACCCTGTAGGTTAAGGTCTGCTCTATTCTTTTTGTAGCCTCTCCAAAGCAATCCAGGACTGCAGTCCTACTCTAAACACCAGAAGCTCCCCACAGAGCAGGAGTGCTGCTTTAGGAGTGCAGAATCAGCAAAAGGGCTCCCCTGCCATTTCCCTCCGTGTCCCTCCTCTTTGCTGATAGTATGACAGGAGAAGGAGGTGCCTCTAGAGATATGCTGACATTCTCAGTATCAGTACATTTATATTTAACTCTGTAACAGACACACAAAGCTACTCTAACTTGGCATAATGTGACTTTTTTATACATGAAGGCAGCAGCAATTAACCTCACATGCTTTGTGTAAATCCCACAAATCCTGTTTATTTCTTAGTTAAGTAAATGAACCATTGATTGAAGGAGAAGCTGCTTTGCTCCAGACACCTTTATCTCCTGGCCCTTTCAGTGTCCTATGAAAAATAAGTAGTTGTGATAGGTCTGATTTGATATAAGAATTACCTCTTGAACAACATGGTGAGTTGTGAGGTGGTTGTCTCCTGGAAGAATTGGCCATTTTACTTTTATTTTCTCCCACTCTTGTTTCTGGAGGAACTGCAATAGGAGAATGACACCAGTTCGTCGCCAAACTCCAAACTCCATACTCACCTCCTCTGGCTGCGCTCTTTTAAATTCCTGCAATCTCTTTGTGAAATGACAAAGTCCCGAAGATCTGTATGTTGCTCAGTTTTTCCATGGTTCAGCAAAATAAAAATCTTTGTAGCTCACATTTGTAACTGATCTGGACACACACTTGCTAGGGAGAACTTGGGCAAAGCACGAACTGTGGTCCAGGGTGGTCAGGTTTTATCTGCTGTTTTTAGTTATCAAGCTTAAGACAACATAATCAAGCCTATTGATTGACTAATTGGGTACTTATTTGTGGTTTGAACATGCAAAACCCATATAACAATTATGAAAGTTAGAAAAAATATAGCACTGAAAAAATTATTCATTCAGAATGAGAATTGTACTTGAACTATTCTCCACAATCATCAGTTAGTTAATTTGTCCCAATATTTATAGTTCATCATTACAACTGCCAAAACTGGCAACCGCCAGGATTGTTGTCTCAATTAAGGACAGTAAACAGATTGTCCCATTTTTTTTAATGAAAAAATCTAAAATGTAATACTTCACAGTTTAACATGTTTATTCATTTAAACGAGCTAAAAAATAGTGGTGTGACATCTGCTTGAGAGACACTGGTACCTAACATTTTGGCTGTCTCCCCACCAATTTGATTGTGATTAAGGGGGAATAAAAGGATGAGTAGAGGATTCTGTCAATTAAATGAATTGATGAACTACAAGCAAAATATTTTTTTCACTCTTGGGAAAGTGTAGAAATACACCTACAAAAATGCATTACAGAAAATTAAGAGGATGATGGGGAAAAGTACTGCAAAATATCTCCATCGGCTCTTTCAGGGAAAAATATTGTAAGCATAAGATCACAGACAATCGTTGCCAGTTTATTCATCTCATGGCTTCATTTCCCAAAGTACAGGCATAATCCACTATAAAATCTTTTAAGAAGCAGTTCCAACATCACATTTCTGCTGTCTTACTGATGTGCCATATTGTTACTTTCTCAGTCATAAGCACCACTAATTATTATGCTACTGTAAGTAACACTTAAAATGCAATCAAGATCTGTAGTATCCTGTTTGTTGGCACCCTAACTTGCCTACTCTGCTTTTCAAGTACGGTCCTTTACAGAGAACTGTCCTAAATGCATTTGGCCTTTACTAACTGGCTCAGTTGTGCCTTACAGGCAAAATCCCGTATCAGTTATCACTCTTCTGGGAGCTGCTAGCAACATTTTCCTTCTTGAAAGGGTAGCATTCAAAATCTGGCCTTGGTAGCAATTTTCATGGAAATGGTATGAGCAATTTTGCAGGGCTTTCACTGAGTTTTTCTTTAGGACAGTTTAGTAGAATTGTCTAAAAACTGTTTTCAAAAAAACAACTTTTAGGTCAAGGACTCCAGAGGACACCTAAGCAAACAGATGAGCAAACTCCTCATGTTGTGGCTATCTGCAGTTACGTGTTCTGGCACAACCTCACAGTCTACATGTTGTCCCTGCTACAGCTGGTTGATGCATGAATGGAGCTATGACTGATCCTGAATCACATGATGTCTGTATGATATGCAACAGTGAACTTTAACTTAAGTGTTCTTCAAGAAAAGTTTAAATGTATCTCTAGAGTCTACTAGGGAAATGCTTAACATCCCTACTAAGCTTCCAGTAAAATATATTTATAGACTCTAAGGTAGTAGAGCTAAAGCCTTTCCTTGGCAATGTTCAGTAGAAGCACTAGTAAAACTACTATACTGAGGCTTCTGCCCTGTTCCCACCCACACCACAAGGACTCAGTATAGGCATCTCCTCCACAACCTCTGCTGGAAAGAAATTCAGTTTACTCCACATCAGAGGACAACAACACTATTGATGTCTACCCTTTCCCTAGAGGTGAATATCCTCGAGAAAACCTGCCTCATCAAGCCAGGTTTGCTGTTGCAATTTGCCATGTAAAGAATTTGATCAGCAATCCTTCTCTGAAACAAGTGTTCAAAAGTATTACTTTTATAATAAAGTCAATTTGTCTGAAGGGATAGAACTACATGGATAAACCATGCCTGGAGAAAGAGCCTTGCTCTATTGGTATTGGATAGACTGCCAAAGGAAGCTCTCTGTGTTGTCTTTTAAGTATTCAAAGGCCACATTTAGTTTTAATATGAGCTTAGGAGCTAGAACTGCCTAAAATAATCCAGATATTCTAAAACTGCTATCACTGCTCACTTTTGAACATTGTGCTGTTTTGATTGCTTTAATGTCCTTTCAAATGTATATATATAATTTAGTGTGCTCAACATTAATAAGAGAACCAAAATAGTAAAAAACCCTTTATTAATAAAATAGACACTGAGCAACTCATACAAAGATAGACGACCTGAACCCCAAGAGGCATGTCTCAATCTCAGATATAATTAAGAGCAAATTAAACCACATGTCCCAGTAGAAATCATTGTACTGATAAGAAAAGAAGTGTATTTGCTGCAATATTTACCATGTACTTCTATGTACACTGAAGTCTATCCAGTTTACCTAAGCAAAAAGAAATACTCCTGTTACATGAGAACATCCTTCCAGTACATGAAGGGAGCCTACAAGAAAGATGGAGAGGGACTTTTCACAACAGCATGTGGTGACAGTACAAGAAGGAATCAATTCAAACTAAAAGACAGGAGGTTTAGATTAGACATTAGGAAAAAGTTCTTTATTCTGAGGGTGGTGAGACACTGGAACAGGTTGCCCAGAGAAGTTGTGGATGCCGCATCCCTGGAAAAGTTCAAGGCTAGGCTGGATGGGACTTCGAGCAACCTGGTCTAGGTCAGGTCAAGTGTCCCTGTCCATGGTAGTGGGGTTGGAACTAGATGAACTTTAAGGTCCTTCCAAGACAAACCATTCTATGATGCTATGATCCATTCTACAAGTCTATGATCTTTCATGTAAATGATAATACCTAATCTAAACAAAGCAAACACACTGCAAACTATGGCACTTGTGGGCAATACGGACTCCTAAGCCACACGTTAGGGAAGTTGCTAGAATCACAATATATACATGCTTTAGTTTTTGTCTGATTCATAATTATGGGAAATGTAATCTTCCTGTTCTAGGAACTTCATAAATTTGACAGTAAGAATTGCTTCTTGTTGTAACCGATTCAGAGAACAGGTTACAAGACAGCCTGTGGGAAGAGAGTAACTACACATCTTAGGCCACACATCACCCAGAGAGCTATATGCAGATATTAAGAAAGCAATTCTTCCAGCATCTTATAGAACAAGAAAATTGCTAATGCAAATTAACAGGAAAGGTCTGCAGCTTCTGTGACATGTGGTGGGGCACTGGTGAAGTGAAAGGCGTGTCACATCTGAGCAGACAGCTTGTGGTACGCTTTTCCCTTCACTGAAAGTTGGGCCACGTGTCAGATAATGTTTCACCATAAATTCAACATGTTGCTATGCATGTGGTCATGTGTGCAAGTAGCAGCAGACTATAAGTTATACATGTTATACATGTTAGGGTTTTGTGTCTGTAACAGTCATAATTAGAAAATGAGAAATATTTGCACATACATGTTTCTCTTTCATATTCTTCTTGGAAGACTGTTGTACTCTCAATTTTTAGAGGAATTATATTGCATTGCATAAAGTGAATGAGGAGTATGACAGATAAGAAGTGAATCCTTAGAGATTCATAATGTATATGCTCACAGTTACTGTATGGTTTAAAAATTAACTGTATTGATCTAAGTTTCTTAAGTGGCAATAATGGGACTGTGTCAATTTAAAAGAAATATATTTTCCATTATAATATTTGCTGTGATTTGTATCCCTTTGTCTTCAAAATCACTACAAGAAATCTTAGTCAGGCATCTCAGGAACAAAACAGTAAATACCTCAGTTGCAATTAAACCTAACATTCAGCCCTGAAATTGGTATCAAAGGTAAAGTGAAGCTAGTTCGCTAAAAAAACTTAAGAATTATGAAAACTTTTCAGAAAGTCAATCTGCCTAACTTCCTTGTCACATTCAGCACCAATGGCTCTAAGCTTTTCTTGATATCAAACTGAATCTGAACAAGACAATGACTGACCACATGTTTAAAGGAATCAAAGCTGAACCTTTACATCCGCAAGCTTAGTTATATGCCAAACTTGAAGCAGAACAGGATAAAGCCAGAATTTTAAAGATTCCTGCAGCTGCTCTGACATACCAACTCCTTCAAGCGACTTGTGGCTATCAAAGGGATCAGAAATGTTATCTACAGTGCATATGAAAGGCGAATATGAAAGGTACTTTGCAAGAACCAAGGCATGTCATGGAGCCAAGATTTACCCAATTATTAGTACACCTGGAAAAAAAAGTGCTTTCTTATTATGTACAACTTCTCACATTAATTAGATGATTAAAATGATTGTATATCTGGAAAAGAATGTTTTTTTACAACATGCCCCAACAGGTAGAGCAAATTGATACTACAACCATCAGGAAGAGTATAATTAAAATACAATTTTGACTTTATATTAATAATAGACCAATATACTAATTAAAACCAACATCAACTGAACTTGCTATTTACACTAGTTCAGACAGCACAGGAGGCAAAGAACTGTGTTTCAGAAGCATATGTGAATGTTAGAGCTTCTGTCATCCAGGTGCCATTTCTAACAGAACACATGTGTGCCAAACAGTTGGCAAAAGAATGAAAAAGATTACTGCAGATATATGGGCACACAGAATCTGGGATTACATAAAATTAAGTCCATATAGAAGGTGACAGACTGCTCCTAAAAGGATTTTTTTCCCCCTACAATTTCTTCCATCTTCATGCATGTGCGTGTACACACATGCCCAAGAAAGATTAAAAGGGAGAGGGAGGATGAGGGGAGTTTGATATATTTTAAAGAAAAGATTTTTTATTTGGTATTTCTGCTTTCTTTTGGAAAAGCAAACTAATTTGGTTATTAGGAAGCTTTGATTCCTCAGGTTGGTCAAGGCAGACACTTCTGTGAAGTCAGCATCAATACCCACAATAGTAATAGCACCTGTCTTTTGACATCAAAGTTCTCTGCCTGAGACAAAAATAATGTAAACAATAAATTTCATGTATTGTACTGTTGGTCCTGGCCTTGGTGTTAATCAAATACACTTGGCCAGGCATAAGTGTTCTTATTTTGGAGATCTGGAATGTAAAACTGACTGATGTATTGCAAAACTTTCTTATGAGTTTGGACTGCAAGAAATGGCATTATTTACTGTCTCACAGTGAAGGGACTGTGTGTTCCTATGAAGTCTTATTGAAGCTGAAGAAATCTTGATGATAGATTCATTGCATCTGCTAGTTTTCATCTGGATCCAGATCAAGGTCAACTTCGTTGGAAATGTTAAGATAAAAGAAAGCATAGAAAGCCAACAAAAATACCAGTATAGCTGCAAGGACAAGGGCAACTTCCTGTAGAAATAAAAGAAAAAGAAAAACAAAACTTGTTAGAAGTAATATCATATTTTCAGAGTAATCAGGAATAAATATTATTTCCCTTCTATAATGCACATCACAATAACATCAGACATATATAACTGCAAAAGGCATTTATGCTTTAATGATTTCTTTTTTGTGATTATCATTTCAAGTATTATTAAATCCATTCACTTAATAAAGATTTTGGTGAGTCTGATATACTGCCAGAAAGAGGATATTTGGCTTAAAAATCTTGAGTCTGACCTAGAAATAGAGCTTTATATCCTTTTATTACACTATTCCTTCTTTTTTAAAAGACAGAATTCAAAAACCACAGTTTTGAACACAAATTTAAGTTATGAATTTACACTGTGAATTTTGATGTTTTCTAGCAATATGTTACTGCTTTTTGCCAACAAATTTGTAATTTTTTAATGAAGCAAACACAGTATGGTGGAAGTCAATGAAAATTGCTACCTCTACCTCCCAACCTCCTGGCATGCATTACAATATGGAGCTACAAAATCCTTCAGAATTGGATGAAACTTTTCTTCCTTCCTCTCTGCAATAAGGCAAAAAGCACAACAATTTGCACTTGCACTTGCCTCTCTTCCCATAAAATATTGCAACTTGCTGCATCTTCCTTAATTAACATAAAAGAGTCTTCCAAAGTATAAATGATTTATAGCAGCTTTCAGAAGCAGAAAAATGTTTTTGTACTACACATCATACTCATTATGTGACTGCCTATCATCTTTAAGGCTGGACTCTGTTAAGCTCTGACTTTAGATCTCATAATAAATCATAGTATGATCATATCCTTTATAACACTACTTCTTTCAAAGTCAAACTATTTCACATTTTTAAGATTTTATTTTTCTGTAAGGCACAGCAATTTTACACTAGTTCAGATTTTCCTTATGATCATGATGTATTTTTAAAATCGTGCACTGAGATTTTCAAAAGGAACATGTTATTTTGTGCCTCCAAACCCCTTTTTCCCTTTACAGAAAGAAGGGGCAACCTCCACCCCAAATCTCTGCTTCATGTTAAGATATAAAACAACTACATCAGGAGAGAAGAAAAACAGTTCAGTGACTTTATAACAACTAATCTAAATTGGTACAGAACATGAGACATCAAACCTACTCTGCACCAGTGGGACTGTAAGGAGATGCCTACACCTCACCCAGACAATAAGACACTGTTTACCATTCAAGGACAGAATCTGACCCTCTGGTGTAAGATTCACTGTGTCCTCTAGGAAAGACCAGAAGAATTCTTCCCAAAAATGCCCATTTCTCCAAATAGACTAGAAAGGGAGTGTAGATGGTACCTCTGTTGTGCACTGTAGAATGAATTCTATCCACTATCTCTAGGTTGGTGGTGGCTTTGTGACCAGCTTTGTTTGTCCACTGCTATGAAGGAGTTAAAACTGTGCATTTCATTTTTTAAAGTCTAGCCCATAATCTGGCATTCTTCTATAGAACAGCATTTCATTTGCATTTACATGAATGCATTATATAGTTTATCAGAATGTTGGATCAATAATTCAACATATGCCACCTAATAAATTTTGAAATACTACTGCCTAGTTGGCGTATGTTCTATAGGAGCATAATCCTTGTTCTATAGAAACCTTTGCTTTACATTTTATATGCATGATTAATTGAGATGTACTTTAAATTTGTTTTACCTCATTAAAATTGCTTCTGTAAATTTGCTGAGGCTGTTGGCTATGGATTTCAACTACATTTTCCTCTTAGAATTGTATCATCCTCTGAACTTCATCCTCCTGATTTCATATGATTTGATTAAAAAAAAAAAAAAAGAAAGTACATCTAATTCACTAATATATTAAAGGAAAGTGATTTTTGCTTTGTTGCAGTTGCAACACGTCAGTATCTCACAAAAGGGCATGGCAGCATCAGACAGGTTTCATTTATTTCCTTGTATCCACAGCTGTGCTCCCAGACCCATCTGGCCACACAGCTACTAATCTTAAGAGGATGTAATAAACAAGTGACATACAACTGCAAGCTCCATCTGCTCAGGAGAGTGGACAACAAAACCGCACAATGCAGGCACCGCTCACACTTGACACAGAGAGCAAATTCATTCCAGTATTAAAAAGTTTTCCCTTGTTTGGATGCCATGCTTGACATGCTTTCTGCTTTACAATAGGTTCACCTTTCCCCTCCCTTCTTGCCAGTCTCTCTTATGAAATGCAGTGGTAGCAGTAGTAAGATTTTTGAGGAATCTCTGCATTAAAGATTTGTTTCAAAGGAAGTGGAATTGGGAAAATCATGAGTTTTATTCTCAGGCTGCCAAGTAACTGCTTGATGGAAGCAGTTCTTTAATTCCTCTGCCTAAGTTTTACAATGAATAACACTGCAATAACAATACTACTTTCCTTACACAGCCATTAGGAACTGGGTGGCTGGATCAGTATTTATTATCCCTGGGAATAAAAAGCCTTATTGAAACTCCAGGTTTCAGAATTATGCAAGAACCTTAATTTTTAGTTACTGAAAAAGGTAGAGTAATAAAAATCTCAAATAAATGGCCTAACAAAGTATACCTGGCTCTCAGCTAGGGACACATAGTCTCTTAGGAATTGCATCCAGTTTATGTTATAAACATAAATTTTGCAAGGTAAATAGCAAATGCGAGGCTACACTACTATACTGTACTTGCAACAACAGTATATCTTGTCATTTTAAGTTGTTTTCTACTTATCAGACTTTGCTATCTGTATTTTAAGTCATGCATAGAAATGAAATGTTAAAATACTCTCCTGTTGGCATATATAGCTCCCTTTCACTTGTACTTTATGGATCATCCCCATCATCCCTCTGCAAAATCCATTTACTCAGAGGATTTCACCATGAATAATTAAAGAATATAGAAAAAGTCTTATAGAAATAAACTTAAAATGATCACACGGCTTTTTCTCCTTTTTTTTTTTTTTTATATCACAGTACAAACCACTAGGAAACATCATCCCTGCTCTCAAATCCCAAAATATGGTCAAAGAAGCCTTTAAAAAGGAACAAAATTTTCTATTATATTCTCTTATATTTAGAATAATGTCTGCAGAACCCTACTGATTTCAGCTCGGTTAAGTTTTTCAGAAACTTTTCATACAGGAAACACATGCCATTACAGCATAATGTTGATTTAATTCTCCTTTTATTTTTTGTCAGCTTTACGTCTCTCATGCCAAAATACTTGGATAATGTCCTCAAATTCACCCTGATGGAGCAAGTGGCAGAGCTGGGATCTAAACAAGATTAATCAGGAGCTGGGGCGAGGAAAAAATGTTGGCTACAATAATATATATGGTTACATATATATGTTTACAGCATATAACTATATACAAATCTGGACAGCAGGGCAGCATCATATCCTACACATATAGAGAAATATCATACTTTCAGGTGTTTTACATATTTTTTATTGTCCTCCAGAGAGAATCATACCTTTTTTACCTGAAAGCAGCTTAAAACTAGGTGAAAGAGTACCCTAAATTGCTCTCTTTGAAGTGATAAACTATCCTTATCTCTTTCTGAAAAGAGATGAAAGAAAACCACACTGACCAAGGATACCTATAGAACTAAAACAAACATATATGGGCTTGACAGTCAATCTTTTTATCTCATATAATTTTTAACTGAAGACTTTATCTGGACACTCACTGTGACTATTTTTTAGAGTTTCACCAAAATTGTATTTAAAAATGAATGCTTACTTCCTTAATGCTGGACATTCTACAGCTAACAGAAGGTAACAAAAGTAACTTATTAACTTTTACCTGCGCTTATAATTTTTTTCTGTAAAAATTTGAGATGGAAGAAAGATCATTATTGTCTCAAATAATGAGAAAGAGGTACTATTACAGAGTCATCTAAAAGGCTTGGCCTTTTGCCCACAAAGCAGCAGGATTTGTTTTAATATAGCTAAATGCAAAATAATATATACCAGTATCAAAGATATAGATAGTGCTTAGAAAGTGGAGTACTCTGCCTTAAAAAAACTATGACTCTTAAGAAGGCCTTTGGATCTCAGGGGTAACTACTCCCTCAGTATGATGTCTGGATGTCCAAAGGTAGAGGGATTTCCAATAGGGAAATGATTGGTATTTATTTTATCATAGAGAAGAATGAGAGGTAGTTTGGTTACAACATATAACTATATATACACCTGTATTTAAGTAAAATCCTTCACAGAGTGGGGTCCTTTTATCCTGTTTACAAGAACCTCTCAAGGTCCACCTGTAGTTAGATAAGCTCAGTTTTGAAACAATATGCCATTTCCTAGGAGTAAGAATGATTGAACATTCCAGTTAACTCTTGGGGTATGGACTTCCATAGCTATGAGTCTTTTATCATTAGATCTAAGTACATTTTTATTTAGCAATTGGAAAGAATACTTCAACTTGGGCTTGTGTGAAAAGGAGGTCCTGGCTGCCAACCTTGGAGTTGGTGAACACAGCCCTCCTGCTGCCCCTCTCCTTCAGGGCCCTGGGAAGACTGGGATTATTTACACTGTCAGTGCTATATTCTGAACCCCTGAAGTATCAGGTTATTACTGAAGTAATGACACTTCCTACTTAGCTACTCAGACTTTTCCATCTGAAGTGTTACGTAGACTGATTATAAGCAGAGACATAAGTAGGCCTGAGAAAGATGGACTACTGCTTCTGGAGGGTACAGAAAATCCTCCTGAGCTCTTGCTTGGTGTATCTTGTTCACATGCTCAAACCACTGTGATTACTGCATTTATAGGTCAGGCCAGGGTCTGATTTTCTTCTCTTTTAACATGTTGCTTCCCCTCCCTTTCATTTCAAGGTCAGGGATCAAAGCCTGACTACTGGGATCACTGAGAAGACCATACTGTATTCATGGGTGGCACATTAGGACGCTCTGCACCTTGTGAGGTACATAAGCTGGTTTGAAGACCCAGTATTTTGGCCATTACAAAGTGCTTGGACT